GCAGTGCTTCCTTAGGTACAAAGTAAGGGTCACATCCTGTTGTGGTGCTGTTCCATGTGAGATAGTCCAAGAGCAATGATATTGTTGTGAGCATTGTACGGGCTGTGTGCTTCATCAAGGAGATGTTATAGTGATTCTTTCTATTCTAGCTGCAACAATCTAAATAAAACCATTCAGACTAAAAGTGTATACGAGCTGTGAAGATGCATAATACTGGGTTTCAGGGAATAATGTAATAGTGTTGGTCTGAATTTCCAAGACAGCTAGGGACTGTTGAAAATTATAGAATAAACTATTTTCAGTGAAGTAGTGTAATAAATCACGAGAATGGTTCTAACTATAGAGCAAACAAGGAACAAACTTTACTCTCAGGTCCTGTGAATGTTCTTTGTCAAAGCCCACATAGTTTGAATAACCAGACAAGCCTCTTTTCATGGTGACCCTGATGTCAGGATTGCTTTGATTTTTCTCATGTGTTGAAATAAAAGATAATATTTCTTTCTGCTAGTGACCATGAGGGAGCTATAAGTTCCTTATGTAAGGCTTCTCAAAAACCCCTTTGTCCAAGTTCTGCCATAGAAAATTTAATAAAAAAAAATATCCACTTATTTTAATTTGGTAATCTTCAGTCTTTCCTCAAAATTTATGCTAATTATTTGGCTTTTGTTATTTCTGCGTTGCTCTGAATGTAGTATTTCTGTTCTCACACTTATTGATAACCTTACCCTTAAAGTTACCCTAACTTCCAGCTTGACACTCTGCTATGTTCAGAAGTAACTCTGCTATTTTTCCAGCTTGACACTCTGTTATGTTCAAAACTAACTGGGGGCTACTTGTCAAGTCTCAGATCAATACTCTGTTGGAGACAATAAAATGTACCGCTATTGTAGCACTTCTAAGTGTTTTTTTACTGATGCTGAATTAAACTAATAACACTGAAAATTTATGACATTTGAAAAATCCAAGGGAAAGGGCTAAAGAAATTTGCTCTGGTAGGAGAAAATACGTAATCTGCAAAGTATTTTTAAATTCAAAATATAGGATAATGGGACTTTAATTATCCTCTGGATATACCTAAATGCATTTACCTTAACAATCAGTTTAACAGGGGTGGATATGTTATTTCTGTATGGAGATGAATTTTAAGTTGCTTCCTATGTTATAAATACAGTGCAGGAAAAAGACTTGGGAGAAAATGATAATCTGTAGTTCAACTGTTCATATTTTTCAAGACTACAAAACCAGTGATTCACTCTATTGCATCTCAGAAAAAGGCTTCCAGGCCATAAGTGGATGCTGACAGTAATCAGCAATCAGTGGGTAGCTTCTGAGCATGCCTAGTGGAGAGGCTTATGTATTTCAAAGCACAGTTTCTATGTTGAGAGAAGGAGGAAGCTGAGTTGTGCTGCATCACTCTCCTCGCAATCTGTTCTGGCACAACTCCCTGTGCTATGCAAGGGAGTTCAGCAATTCTGCACTGCCTTCGACTAAGACATAAGACTCAAAGGACTCAAAGCACTACAGCAGAAGAAGGTGAAAATATTTACATGTTTTAAGAAGGTGAGGGAGAGAAATTTTATTATACATAGCCTCCTGATTTGTACAAGACTGATGTTGGAATGCAGTACTAACCTACTTTCATAACAAGGTACATGTCAGAAGTCTCAAGGCTCCCTATTTCTCCAGATAAAATGCAAGAAAAGCAAACAATGCAAAGGAAACCTTAAATGCTGCTGTTTGAGACAAGAAACCTTCCTTGACTACATCAAAGGGTCTACTCTCCATCTAGCTTAGCTGATTTTTAGCTTTGCTTTATCATCTCTGTTGGCCTTCAGTTGGATGAGGTCCTAGAGCTAAAAGCCTGAAACTTCCAGAGAAGGAGCACATTTGGCAGCAGTTGCTGATGGTATAGCACCTTTCAGGGCTACTTGCTTCTAAGCAATCAAACTGGGAATTTCTTCCAAGCCAAGTGGTACAGACTGTGCTTGTCTTCTGCAGCCACCTGCAGAGCTCTGGTTTAAAACAAGCTTTTGAATTCATCACAAGACCAAGAAGAGGAGCACAGTGGAAAAATCTTCACTTGTCATCATTTTTTTTTTCCACCTCATTCCCCATTTATGTTTCATAGAAAACTTCATGGATAGAATTTTTCCTTGGGCTTACAACAGCAAATTAAAATTTACAGCAGGGTTTTTGCTGTGTTTGTCTGTGCTTTCTAGAGTTACACATTGTGGGGAACATTTTGATAACAATGGGTTGGCAGCAGTATAGTTATGGGCTGCTTTTGTTTTAAGCTGTCATGGAAGCCAGAAGCTGCGCACCTATTCATGGCAGCACTAAAGCTGGGGAAAGGAGAACTATGATAGCTACACTTATCTTGTACAACTCTGCTCCTGGAAACACAGTTCATAAGCCTCTGGTGATGGTGTTACTATAGACAGGATGCCCTGTGCCACTCACCCTTTCACTGCTGTCATCAACTTGTATGAATGAAGTTTGCCAAAAGACTTTTGTTTTCTCTAAGATGGAGGGCTTATTTGGCATGTAAATATATGTTCAAACATAGTACTTATTAATTGTTACACAGAAGTTATTCAGACTCTCGATTTCTCAAACCTCTTCCAAAATTTTCTCTTTCACAAGATTGATTTAAATGATAGATTAATACCATACATTCCCAACCTGTGTATGGGTTCACAACTCTATGCTTGCAGCCCAGATATTGATCAGTCATGCCCATTTTTGTGTGTGTGTGTGTGACTTTGGTTAGAGTTTTTTTTTGTTTTGGTTTGGTTTTTGTTTTGGTTTTGGTTTTGTTTTGTTGTTGTTTTTGGTTTTGTTTGTTCGTTTGTTTTTTTATGACAGACCATATGGTCACAGATGAGAATCCAAATGGCATCTTCTATCCCCAGGTGGTTCCTCTGCTGTAATCCTCCCGACCACAGCATGAGCAAGAGCAAGCCATTGCTAGACAGCCACCTAAATTAGTGTGCCAACTAGTCAGGCAAATGAAATTGCCACTGGATGTTACAAATTCCCTTCCGTGTTACAGACTGTCATGTGTCTGTCTGTCTGTAGACTTCTCTCCTCCCTCCCCACCGTGACTTTCGGACTTACGGACTGGTTTTAACCAAGTTGGAGACAGCGGATGGTGTCACAAACACAATTAAGCTCTTGCACATATTACGAGCATTAGCAACAAATTGGAGCCCCATTTCAGAGAAAGGTAGTAAAATGATATTATATGGTGTTTGGCAGTAATCTGTGATATTACACAGTGTTTGGCAGTAACCTGTGGCAAGCCTTTGGCTGTATGTGTAACACTTGGCTAGACTCGGTGTACTCAGGTGGCAGCACTGCAGAAAACATAGCAAGGGAAAGCCACACTTATTTAGCAGTATTGAAATAAAAGAGGTAAAGGATGCCAGCAGGGGCTGTAATCACTCTTAGAATATTTAGCATCCTGTAAAGGAAAATGCCCACTTCCATGATACTGTAAACAAGAAACTCTACTTTCATTTAACAACAGTTTCTAGCTTACTTGTTTTTTTGAGAAAACTTTATAAATAAAATATCAACACAATGATTATGGTTACCAAATACTATATATAGAGACAATAATGAACAAAAAGATTAGGAATCTTGGGTCTAAAGATAGAAAGAATATTTTACTATTTTTAAGCTTCATTTAACTGCATGTTTGGAAACAATATTTTTCTTAGATGTAGGCTGCTTTTGAGTTAGAAATGACAAAATTGAATTACAATAGTGTGCTATCTGAAAACTGAAAGTGCTAAGAAGTGTATGCCTACTTCATAATTTTATGTATGCCTACTTTATAATTTTATGTCTTTCTTGGAGTGAGGGGCCCAGAACTGAAGACAGAATTCAAGATGTGGCCTCAGTGTCAAAGGCAGGGAAATAATCCCTTCCCTGGTCCTGCTGGCCACACTACTTCTGATACAAGCCAGGATGCCAAGGGCCTTCATGGCCACCTGGGCACACTGCAGGCACATGTTCAACTGCTGCTGACAACCACCCCCTGGTTCTTTTTCATTAGGTATCTTTCCAGCCACTCTGCCCCCAGCCTGTAGCGCTGCCTGGGGTTGTCATGACCCAAGAACAGTTCCTGACAATTCATCTTGTTGCATCTCATACCACTGGCCTTGACCCCTCTGCAGAGTCTTCCTATGCTTCAGCAGACCAACACTCCTGCCCAAGTTGGTGTACTCTGCAAATTTGGCCCCCTCATCCAGATTGCCAATAACAATATTAAACAGAACTGAGCCCTGGGTAATACCACTGGTGACTGGCTGTCAGCTGGATGTAACTCCATTCACCACCACATTCCGGGCCCAGCGATCCTGACAGTTTTTTGCACAGAGCACAGTGTGCCCATCCATGACATAAGCAGCCAATTTCTGCAGGAGAATGTTGTGGGAAATGCATTCAAGAGAAAAATCTTGATTTACTATACATTCCTCTGCAGATCCAGGGCATACCTACTATTGATCACTTACTTAGTCTGTGTTCATTTAAACCCGAATAACATATTTATACAACTACAAGAACAAAAGAGATCTGAGACTATAAAGCAGGGAAACAACAGTGTTGTCAGTGGGAATTGCTGGATGCATGACCTTTTCTCTCTTTAAGTGTCTATAACTAAAATATGTGTTGGCATATGTACAGACAGGTTATTTTTTTTCAGTAGGTGTCTCCAGTAAGATTCCTCTGCCTACAAGAAGCCAGTGGGAAAACTCCACTTAAAAAGAGATTACACCTTAAATACAGGTATGGGTCTCTGGCTTCAGGAGCACATCTTTCAAAATCTATTCTCATGCTCCTGGAGTTTGACACAGGTATGATTTGCATCAGTTTATAGCAATATTTTCAGAAATCATGGTAATTTTTACACTGACACAAAAGCACAGTTAATCCCCTTGGTACAAACATATCTATGGGTGTTCACACACATAAGTGTGTTTGCAGATACTCACCATTTTCCTCATCCTATGCATGAGGCTTAGAGCATAAGAGCAGGTGTCAAGCTGAGGCTGCAGCCAAGGATGATCTCTTCACAAAGCTGCTGACTCCTGCCTTGTTGAGGAGAGTGGGCAAACCCATGGGACAAGAGTCTGATCAGCAGGGGTCCCAGGACTGGACACAGTTGGGAACACTGTGCCTGAAACCCAAAACCTTACATTAAGTAGGTGAAATGCTCCCAGGAAATAAAACTACACTAGTTTGGTGTTGGTGGCTGTGCCTCAATACCAACTCTATTATCCTGAGACTGGATATGAATTAAACTTTGTACATATAGTCTGAAATTTATTAAAGTTGTATTGTATAGAATACAACATTTATAAATTACAATATGTAACTATATTAGGACTAGCCAGAAGGACTCTCAGGATAGAAATAATGAAGAAAAATGATGCAATGACAATGAAAGACTTTCCCACAAACCCTGGAGGTATTTTTCAAAGATAGTTTGGTGAACAGCTGATCCAAAGGCCTGATGTCCTGTGAAGTTCAAGAAATAGGTGATGAACCTATGCAGGGTAAGGAACAGAAAACTGCCAAGACAAAGCCTTACCATGTAAAAAGTTACTAATTTGCAAGACTTGTTTGGAAGTTCTTTCAGGAATTAGGTAGCTTGTCTAGAGGCTTTCCTCTTCTTTTATATCCTGCTCTGTTCTTATCATCAGGATGATCAATACATTGTTTTACAGAATCTACCATATCCACCCTCAGCCACAGACTCACAAAGGGAATAACGTCAATACTGGACACAGTCAGGCCTCCTGGGTAAGAGTAATCATTGCTCTCATTTAGCACTTAGCATAAAAATGGGAAAAGAGCAAGATGGGTTTTCTGAAAGGGGTAACATTATCAAAGGGAGAAGCTGAGCTGAAGCTATTTGCATAAGTACCTTTAATTTATAAAACATTTCAATTCCAATTTTAGTTAGAAATATTTTTAAAGAAAACAACCCTCATTTTTAACTGGTGCATAGAATTTTGTGTTAATGTATTTTCAGAATTTGCATTCTGGAATGTTGAAAAAGTAGTACAAACTGATGTTCCAGAGGCAACACTCAAGGCAAAACTGCTTAAAGGCCCTTGAGTGAATAAGTGTAGAAAATCAATTTTTCTTCAAACACCTTTTTGGACAGTTAAGTTTAGGAGAAACTCAGCAATAAAATGACTGGACAAGTGACAAAGTATTCATTCTCTTCAGCTGGGTTTCCTTTACACAGTGTCCTGATTTCAGCCAGGACAGAGTTAATTTTCGCAGTTGCCAGGAGGGGTCATGGCCAGGACCCCGAGGTTATTCTATACCACCTCACATCATTGCCAAGGGCAGGGGAAGGGAGTCTCTTCCAGGAAGAAGGGGTTCCTTTGTTTTGGAAGAGGGAGTGGTGGGGTAACCAAGCCGGTTCCAAACCAGAAGGAGCAGTAGTGTTAATGGCAGTTCTGAGCCAGAGGGAGCAGTTGGGGTATCGTGGTAGCAGTCAGGTCAGGCTCTGAGGTGAGGATTTTCCATGAGAGCCACTCTCTTTTATACACTTCTGTTATTAATATTGTTGCTGTTACTGTTCATTTTCTTATCTTGTTGCTGTCACTGTTCTTTTTCTTATCTCATTACTCTTTCCAGTAAATTGTTCTTATCTCAACCCGTGGTCTTTACCTGTTGTGCCTCCAATTCTCCTCTCTAGCCCACCACAAGGGATGGAGAAGCAAGTAGGCAGCGGCATGGTTTGGAGAGTACCAGTGGAAGCACTAAATTGGGGAGTACCATTCCTAAATCATGATACACATGAATGATGGATATTCTGTATCTTCTAAGAAACAATGAGATGTCATTAGCTGAGCAACAAAAACTACTTTAGCCTTCATGCAGAACTAATAACGCAGTTACTTTCCAGGTACAATACAAATTTTTAAGCTTAAGTCATTTTTATTTTTAATTTTTTTTTTTTTAAGCATCTAATCTAGTGTCCTGAATGGTTCAGCAACCTCAGTCTCCACTGCAACAAGTGGAGGAGAAGGGATGCTCCCACGGAACGCTTCTCACAGCACCCCAGTTAGGCTTCTGCTCTGAACACCATCTCATTCCCTGCTGACAATACAGGTAGGAGACAGAAATTTCCTTCCTCACCAAGAAACCCAAGGTTGGTGTCTTTCTTAGAGAACTTGACTGTTCCGAATACTCATGGTGCAGTTTTCAAACTTAACTTGTAACGGTTATTGTTGGGAAATCCTGATATGCACATGTATGCAATGTTAAGTAGTAATATCCAAGGACAGACTGTCATTTTCTTAAGGTTGCAGTGAAAACAAGGGATGTAGTTATTGTGGTCTGGATGAGAAAAATGCTACAAATTTTAACCTAATAGTATCCTGAAGCTGTAAAACTACTACATAATAATTTTCATCCCACAAAAATAACTGAAATTTTTACTGTGACTTCATTATGCCCCAGGTTAGACACAGTGTGAGCAAAGGTTTGGAATGATACAAAAACAAATCTGAAAATCAAGGTAATAATTGATTAAACTGGATGCCAGAGGACTAGGTGTCCAGACTGAGGATATCTCATTTTCTTGAAATGTAACCTTTTAAGACAGGTTAAATAATTTGACTGCAAAAATTTTAAGCATTAAAAAAAAAAAAAAAAAAAGAGAGAGAAAAAAAAGAGAAAAAGACTTGAAGCTACTCAGACAAATTTACATATATTTACAGCTGTGAAATGTTAAGTACATATTTACAACATGTAGCTCAGGCATACCCTATGCTTACTCAAGGATGCTGCTTCTTCTTGCCCTTGCTGCAAACCTGAAACGCCTGCAGTCAGTCTCAGCTTATAATAACATCCACCGCTGCGTTTGGGTCTCTGCCTGGTGACTAAGGGCCTGTTGTTATGCCTTGGGCCATATGTTTAGCCCCATCAGTCATCAAACCAAAAGCACCATTCACCCCTGATCATTATCACTTCAGCCAATATCAGTCTATCTACTCAGCAGATGAAATCTTACCAGCACAATTAGAGTGTGATAAATGCAGATACGCAAGCAGATCAGATCATTCCCTACCACCCACAATATGTATAAAAATAATTTTTCCAGGTGGTTCAAAGCAGCTGGCCATGTGCCTAACAAGTCACCAAGGCATTCTGGGATTGCATAATAAAATACTACTTGTCATGTAGTATTTTAATTATTGTTATCAGCTTCCAGAATTTCAGTAAACTGGGCGTACTGCTTAATGAGTTTATACTTAGCCAGAGGCATTGTATCACAAGTAAAAAGAGAGCAATGCTACTATATTGTACTGGATATACTATTACTCCAACACAGCAAAAAAATCAATTTACTGTAGACTTCTCTTCAGCATGCCTGGATCTTAAACTCTGTGAGAATAATAAACTCTTGATATGATAAACTTCTTTTGTTAATATTATCACAGCATGCTTAAAATGTGCCCCTAGAGTAGATGAGAGGGCCCCTCAGGCTAGGAGACTGCAAAAAGAGAATGATCATACTCTCATGTTATGTAAACTCACCTTCACTCTCTTGCATATAGACATCTCCCTGTTTTTGAATCAATGACATCAAGAGCATAAATGCTTGAGGTAAAAACCCCCAAACAACTGAGTCACATTAGCAGAAAATTTCTTAAAAGCAAAATGGATGTAGGAAATTGAGCGGAAGGAAATACAAAAATCCAGAGAAGGAATAGTTCTTACTTTGCTGTTCTCTGAGAACTTATATCTACCTTTTCTTCTGTGTGTTTCAAACAGCTTTCCGAGGCCAAGCAAATCTGTGGTTTATAAATGAGAAAACAGAAGAACAAGGAAGGTCAACTACATAATTTAATATAAAGACATCTATGTGACAAATGTAAAATACATGGTTTCCTTTGGCTGGTGGTCTCCTCTTATACTTTCAGAATTATCTAAGCATATCCTGCACACTAAAATAATACTTTATTAATTTTTACTGCCATTAGCAGTCGAGAACAAATTCAGCTCTTGGAAGATGAGATGGATTTTATTCTGATTTATTTATCATCAAAAGAACTGTTAATTAAATTCTCAGTGCAAAATATCACTGTAAATGCATCAACTCAAAATAACCCAGCTTGGCTTTCAGTGTTTATTAGATTCTCGAGTATGTTTTCCTGCTCATGATCAGGAAAAAAATCCAAAAAGTAACAAAACAAAGAAAAAAACCCCAAACACATACAACCCCCTCCCCCACCAAAACAAAACAAACCAACTCAGGGAAACAGAACAAAAACCCTAAGAGAAGCTTTTAAATGGAAATTTATGTAGAAGACACTAGAAAACAATTTTCATGGAATGAAAATGTTAGTGGTTACTACCCTTGTCAGCAAGCCAACATCAGTTTGGAGATATGTTAGATGCCCCTCGTTAGCGCTTGCTTCTACTCTTCCTGCTGGTGCAATAGTGGACGGACAGGCCAAGCCACCAGTGGCACAATACAGAGATAGAGGGAGGAAGGGGTCTGCAAGCAATCCTGGGAAATTTCTCCCAAAGATGTTCAGTTCAGGGAGATCACAGTGCACTCAGTCCAGAAAATGCTTACTCATAAGAGCATGCTATTAGCTTTTGGACTTGGAGCCAGAGCATGCTGGCACTGCTTGAAAAGAAGCTGAGGAGCAGCAAGCTGTACAGCAATCCTGTGACATGATGCTGGGCCCTTGCTTTGGACAAACATTTTGTAGGTTACAGCAAGGGCTTCAGTGTCCTCTGTAGATGCATGAGAATCTTCAGGTGCCCTCTGAGCAGCTGTAGGAGGCAACCTGGAAAACCTGTTGTCAATAGGTTGAAATTCTCACTGTAGTAATCTGCAGCTTCATGGCATGGCCCATGCATTCAGCAAGGCTGAAATTTTATTAAAATAATGAGTTGTTTTCTCAGTCTTAAAATCTTGGAGGCAGTTGGTGAGTGTAATCAGTACTGTTCACCCTTCTTAAGTGCCCAGAGGAGAAAATGAGAACTGTTGGAGGTATCCTTAGAGTCAGGAGATGCCAGAAGTGCTGACTGCATGGCCAGGGCTCTGCTCCATAGGGAATGTAGACAACCATTGCTGCAAGAAAACATTCTGCTTGTCTGAGAGGATGAAGAGACTCTTTTGGTCTGTGCATATCTTGACTTATCCTTTGTGCAATGCCTTGAGGTTTGCAAGGTTAAAGCTGAAGAGGAATTGTGCTGGAACCAACCCTCTCCCTCTTCTTCCCCAAGTGATGAATTCTCATGTTGATACTTCCAAGGAGAATGCGTGGGAAGAGAAGTGATCATGTTTAATGTTTCTTTCAATTCCTACTGTATCTGTCCAAATCTCTCCCTATATCTGCTCATCCTTTATTTATGCAACTATTATCCCATTTTAATTGACAATACCACAGCCCCTCTTTGCTCTTACTCTACTTTCCCTCCAGTGCCAACAGTCTGAAAGCAGGTACCAGTATGTGTTTTAACAGGAAGTTGCACAGTATCTGGGGCATCTTTTTCAGACTCTGAAACACGACTCTGTCTTGATTTCATGTTGTCCTTATTCAGAAACTTTTTTTCTTAAAAATATTTCATAGTCCTTGGTGTTCCCTTTTCTGCGCTGGATGCTAGCAGAACATGGGCTTTGTCAGCCAGCAATTCCCTTTGGAGTCAGACCACTGTACTAGCCACCTAACTGTACTTTCCGAAAAGGCGAAAAAACCTTGTCATCAACCCTGACAATCCTTGGAGCATAAAACCAAAACCTAGACTTCCGAGAATACTTCTGAGGGAGAAAATAACTCCTTGTCCATTTTGTTGTAACTTAAGCAATGTCCCTTGCACTTGATCTCTGTCGTGGTTTCACCCCAGCCAGGAACTAAGCCTCACACACCTGCTCACTCACTCTCCCACAAGCAGGAGGGAGGAGAAAATCAGAAGGGTAGAGGTGAGAAGACTCATGCATTGAGAGAAAGACAATTTAATAGGTAAAGCAAAAACCTCATGAACAATCAAAGCAAAACAAGGACTTAATTCAATGCTTCCCATGGCAGGCTGCCTCCAGGAAAACAGGGTTCCATCATGCATAACAATGATTCAGGAAGACAAATACCACCATTCTGAACAGCCCCCTGTTCCTTCCTCTTCCCCCAGCTTTATATGCTGAGCATGATGCCATATGGTCTGGGATATCCCTGTGGTCAGTTGGGGTCAGCTATCCCAGCTGTGTCACCTCTCAGCTCCTTGTGCATCCCCAGCCGCCTTGCCAGTGGGATGGTGAGAAAAGCAGAAAAGGCCTAGGCAATAAGCACTGTTCATCAACAAGGAAAACATCCCTGTATTATCAACACCATTTTCAACACAAATACAAACACAGCCCCATCCTAGTTACTGTAAAGAAAATTAACTCTATCCCTGCCCAAACTGGCACAGTCTCTCAAATCTTTTCTTCTTCTATTTATTCCTTTTCTCAGTACTTTACGCCATAAGGTGTTTTTTGCTGTTTTCTTCTAGATACAGTTTCACTGGTCCTTCTACCACAGTCCTAATTTAGTTTTCTGTAAAAGGGGCCATGGACAGCTGCTTATACTCCCTACTGAATTCATTACTATCAAATGAGATTGAAACACTAATTGCATACAAGAAAAATGCTGTGGCCAAGCTAGAAGACTGCTCCTACAGCCTTGAGATGTCCAAAAAATGAAAAGGCAGTCAGAGACTCCTCTGGAGGTAAGAAAATCTTTTCATTGAATGAATCATCTATAATGACTTTATTACTGTTAATACAATGTGTAAATGCAGGAAAATAGCAATAAATATTTTTATGACTGATGGGTCATAAGGAATTCTGAGTGTTTTCTCTTAATGATGACGAAATTTACTTTGACTGAACCTACTCAATGCAAACCCTCTGAAGAAAACATGCACAGCTTGTGGGAAGGAAGTCCAGATAAGTAACACTGTTCCCTCGATTTCTTAGGAAACCCATTTCCTATTACAAAGTTGATACATTAAGATTTGTTGAACTGGGATTTTCTCAGAGAAACATCAAAAAAAAGCTTGATCGATGTTTTGCTAAAATCCAACACCTTTGTAATACCCAAAAATGGAAATTACATTCCACCTATGCAATATATTTCCATGACTTTGCTTCAAAAGGATATACTCATTCATGCCTTTTCACAAAACTGAGTGCAACTGCACTATCTCAGAAATAGTAGCATTTTGGTATTGAAAAAATATTACTGTATGCAAAAAATAGGAGTTGTAGAATTACTGGGAGGAGAAAGAGGGATTGCCTGTATCATTTACATGATATACACAGATACATACTATTGTTCCACAGAATGACAATGACTGCTATCTCAAAAATATATATTCAGGGCGACTGCAGCTAAATATATCAGATCAGCCTAATACAAATCATGCCTTCCTTTAGTTTCAAAGACTAAACCATACCCTATTAAATTTGGAATTCAAAAAGTGTTTGGAACAAGCATAAAGAGAAATTGGGAAAAAAAAAAAACAACAATCAGAGAAGTTCAAGCTATCTTGGGTAAAGCTGAATGGAATATTTCATAGAAGCATAGAATATCCTGACTTCAAAGGATCTCAAAAGAATCATTGAATCTACCTCCTGGCCCTGCACAGGACAACCCCAAAAATCATATCATGAATATTTGGAAAAGAACATTAAAAAAAATGCTCCTTTCCTGCATTTTACAATGTGCTTGATCTATATTTTTGCATCGGAAATTATACTTTCAGCAATGGCTCTACCATTGTTGCTCTATTGCCTTTGCAAGTAATGAAAAAGAACAAAATTTCTTTGTATTTCAGAAATATGATAACATCATTCTAGTATTAGAACCAAAGAGGTTATAATGCAACTTCTGACAAGCAGGATACGGGACAAAAAAATCAGAGCAATTCTTAGAAGGAAATCATGGCAGACTATTGTTAGTCCCATGGCATGGTTCCAGCCCCACAAGGAGTCTGGGGTACTGCCATGGCAGGACTAGAAGGCACTGCTACAGGTACAAGGTAAACACTGACGGTGACCCCCTATATATCACAATGCACAGTGGAGGCCATCTCTGCCCACTCCCAAAACTGTGGCCCTTTAGCAAAATGCTCAGCTTACTGACCTCTTTGTGCACCCCTGCTGCGCTCTCTCCACTCGGGTCATTCACTACATTCTGCAATGCAAGTCTGAGACAGCACATCCCAACCAACTGCAAAATACCATTGACTACGAATGACTTACTAAATTAAAGAGTATATAAAGCAGAAAGAAATAAAAGATGGGAGTAAAAACATCCTTAAATTGTCTTTACTTTGTGTCAGCCTATTAGAGTGCATGGAACAGACAAATAAATAGTAGACAGAAAACATAGGGAAACAAAAAAAGACCAAAATGATGCTGCAAAATTGTACCAATAGTAATGTTGCTAGTAATAATAAAGTACACAAAAGGGGAAAGGAACCAGACAGTCAGTCTTGTAGGTGGTCTGAATTAACAACTCTGGAATTTGTTTTGAAACACATAAAATGAAGGTAATCATTCTTACTGTTTATGCTGTTTGAGTATCAAGATCTGTGCAAAAAGTATGAGATTTTCTGGCAGCTGAAACAGTTAAAGGACTGGATGACTGTAGCAGTAAGACTAAAGACTACATCAGTAGAATGGCTAAATCCTGTTTAGGCAATATCAGTCACAAACTATTCCCCCAGGAATAGAACTCACTGTAATTTTCTACATAGTAAGAGAATAGAATGAAAGACCCCATCAAGATCTTGCAAAAATATAGCTGCATGCACAAAAAATCCTGGGCAAGGGTGCAAAATAATGTACTACCCTGGTTGCAGCTCTGAAATATGTGAAATTGCTATAGCCTTGAAGAGTTGTGGTGTTCCTAGTGCAGGACCAGGTTCTGTTGGACCTTTGCAGTAGGAAGATTGTGCAGTTCCCCACATTCTGTGTTCAGTAGCCTGTCATTGCACTGTATGAATTACGCTTACCTGGATTTCTTGCTTCCTACTCTCTATGCAGTAGCAAAATGCTATTTCTACTGTAGTGTGCTCAAGAGAACAGGAAAATGGACCCTTGAAAAATAATAATAAGCAATTTTAAATCCTACAGAACTAGCAGAGCTAGCAGGAAACCTCAGCAAAGTATTTTAAGGCATGTCCTAAGACTAGATGAGAATATCTTGTAAAATATCTACTTGCTGTTGGGTTTCCAGAGGCAGATTTATACAATTCAGCTTGGAGAGAAAACAACAGAAGAAAACCAAACCAAAACTGCGCTTTGCTTTAGAGTACCTCAATGTGCTTTTGCCACCTGAGTAGCTAGGATGGAGGATGGAGCAATGTGAGGCTGATAGCCCATCAGTACGGGCCTGCAGTGAGTTACAAGGCTAACACCTGACACACAAGGTCACTGATGGTCCTCCAGCAGTGCCATGGACAGGGTGTGCTGCCAGGGCAGGCAGACTTTAGGCAACCAGGCTGAACATGGGTGTCATGGCAGCCAACAACACGGTGCAGGAACTCTCAGCTTCCAGCTGCCTCCAAAATTAAGGAGATGATAGTGCACATGTAGTCATTCAAAATCCACAGCTTGTTTTATCCTGTCTTAAGTCAAGACTGAGCTCTAAAACTGGCTTGAAAGGAAGCATATGTTGGGACTCTGGACTGCAGGGCTACTCAGTTTCATGTGACAGGACATAAATTGTATTTTACCCTCAGAAGCTAATTCTGTAACTTGCAGTTCTTCAGTAAGAATTAAAAACCTGCCAAACCCACCTCCTGAAACCCAGACTATACCCCACATCAACAGACCACTTTCTCTCTTGTTCAGAAGGGTTCAAAACTGAACCCTGGGCTGAAAGGAAGCTCAAAACTACAGCCTGATGGCAATTATTTTGTCTTGTCACTGTTTTTTTTTACCTGATAATGTTTTATTTATCCATCCAGTTTTGTGGTACAATGGGTATCATTGCTTTCAATGTTTTTATTATAATCTATTGCTGAATTTTAAGTGTCATCCCAATTAGTAAACATGATCTAATTATTTAAAACCTCTCTATTTTCCCTTTAACAGTGGACGAGCAATAATTTTTTTTTTTCATGTAAAGCCATGTGTTCTTTCATAGCAAATTTCAGGATAAAATTATGCAAAAGCATTATTTTCTAATTTGTTTCTTTTTAATAGTCAAGAGTAAATTTTTTCAATTAATTTTCATTGCAGTTAAAAAAAGTATTCTTTCCTCTTTTTGCTTCTAACTTCTTTTTCCACTAACCAGATGGAAATTACTCTGATAAAAAATAATTAACTTTTTCCACTGGCAACTAAAGTAAAATGTTAGTTGGTGTTATTTTTCTCTCACTTCAAGACAGAAAGCTGAAAGTGAGAGAAAATGTTATTTTTAAAAGCACTAGTGTTGCTTTCTTCACTTTTTTTTTTTTAATATTTGACTTCCCTTTTACTATGGGGAAAGTGGGGAGAGTAGGAAACAAATGAAACACCAATTGAAATGGGTATTTCACCATGAACAGACAAAAATTTTCTCTCCTTTGCAATTTAAAAAGTAATCATTAAAATTGAAGTAATATAATTTAAAATACTTGAAATGAATGCTGAGTAATTTTTATTTTGTATGTAGGTCAAAATAAAGCCTGCCATCTTAAAACATAAAGTATTTCCACTCTTAAAGAGTCTTTCATAGAGACTTAGTCTCTCATGCAGCCCAAATCTCTGGCTGTTCATCCAGGTGATCCAGCTCTCTCTGGTGATCCTGGCTTTCACCACATCACTGCTGCAGGAGAAGCTCCTCTGGTAGTGCCAGCTTGAGGATATTAAGAGATGAGGATGCTTCCCTGCCTAAGAAAATGGCACAAGGCGAGAGTTGTCTTTGTGAACCCCATACCTAGGTGTTTGCAGGGACATGAAGAGTGCATGACTATCACATTGTGGCCAGTGGCTGAAGAGTGACACTCCTCTGCTGGGATCAGGGTGACGTGCTGACTGTACCTCTGCACCTGTGCTGCTCTGCTGAGTTGCCCTGAAGGAGCATCACAGGGAGGAGACTCTGGGAGGTAAAGGCCAGGCCATGTGGGGAGAGTAGAGCTGCTGACTGCAGGAAATGAGGAGTGTGGGGTCACACATGGGGGAGTGGGAGTATTGGGAGTGATGGTCGCATTGGGAAGGCATCAGGTAAGGTATGAAATGTTATAGGTATTATCCGCTATAATAGTGGTGTCATATTCTTGACTCAGGCATCAGGAAACACTTTCACACTGATAGTGATGGAGCAGTAGCATAGATTACCCAGAGAGGTGATGGGAGTCTCCATCCATGGAGATACTCAGACCCTACACAGCTCTCAGAAACATACTGTAAGTGGCCCTGCTTGAGCAGGATTAGACAAGATGATCTCCAGAGATCCCTTCTGATGCCAGCTATTCTGTGATTCTGTCACCTCTAGTGTAGACTGGCAAAGCTTCATCTCTAGAAATTAGAGCTTCCTCCTTATCCTTATGAAATCCTACCAACTTTAGGAACGTGTTTCATGACACATTGTGCAGTCCTCAGATTGGCATTTCTCTCAGTGAAGATAGCCTTTACTTTCAGTGAAGTTCTTAAATTCAAATTCAAAGAATCATAGAATATTCTGAGTTGGAAGGGACCTGCAAGGATCACCAAGTCCAACTCCTGACCCTGCACAGGACCCATCATGACCCAAGAGTCCCACTATGTGCCTGAAAGTATTATCCAAATGCTTCTTGAACTCAGACAGGCTTGGTGCTGTGACCACTTCCCTGGGGAGCCTGTTCCAGCACCCAACCACTCTCAGGTGAGGAACCTTTTCCCAATATCCAATCCAAATCTCCCTTGAAACAGCTTCATGCCATTCCCTCTGGTGCTGTCAGTGGTCACCACAGAGGACAGAGTCATGAGTGTGTGCCCCTCCAGTTCTGCTTGTGAGAAAGCTGTAGACTGTGATGAGGTCTTTGCTCAAACTCCTCTTCTCCAGAATGAATAAACCAAATTACCTCAGATGCTCCACATATGGCTTCCCCTCAAGGCCCTTCACCATCTTCGTTGCCCTCCTTTGGACACTCTCTAATAGCTCAACATCTTTCTTATATTGTGGTGCCCAAAACTGCACAAAATATTCAAGGTGAGGCTGCCCCAGAGCAGAGCAGAGTGGGACAATCACTTCCCTCAACCAACTGAGGATGCTGTGCCTGATGCCCTCCTGGACACGGTTGGCCCTCCTGGCTGCCAGGGCACTGCTGACTCAGATTCAACCTCCGATCCCTTTCTGCAGCGCTACTCTCCAGCCTCTCATTCCCCAGTCTGGATGTCAATTGGTCTGAAGTAATCCCCATGAATATGTAATTTTTTTATGTAGGAGTGACATTTGGCCTCAGACAAAGGGTCAACCTAAGGGTTTGTACATCACTGAAACCTCATTTGAACTTGAAGACAGGACTTGAATGAAACCTGAGTATTAGTGGGTAACAAATGGCACATACCATCAGAGTCATGTTTTAGACTTCAAGCACTTTATTTAAAAGTGCCTATTTGCTTCAAAAAATACTAGATCTAAAAAATACAGCTCTACATGTAATGTTTGACCATATTCAACTTGGGGACTCCAATTTGAACACACTAAAACAGTAAAACCAAACCAAAACATAAAAAAGCCAGACAGGTGCAGGTCTCAATCACTGTCTCTTTGAAACAGCAAGACATATTCCACAGTCCAACGATTTTGTTCTTTCTTCCACTGAAGGGGCATATCTATGTGATTGAGCTGTAGCTAGTCAGCTGGTATCACTTTCCAGCAGTGAGGGTCACTGGACACTAAGTCAGCTTTATGCAGCACGTCTTCACATTTCACTCAGCAGTAGACCTGATTATATGCTCCATATTGCAGAATATAAATGGGTATCCAGATAGGGAGAGGTGATGACAAACAAATCTACCTGAATGAGATACCAAAAGGACAAATCACAGTGTGAATCCTGGCCATGGAGTTGGGATCCTGCAGAGCTTCCTCAGAGACGTGTTCAAGAGGTTAAAGCACCTTTTCTTGTCTTATCTTCCATCTCAGATGATGTGGCATATGCTTTTGAATAGGTAAGGGCAAAGGTCTTCATCTGTCGAAGAGTTTAGCAAAAGACCATTTTCTTCTGAAGGTAACCTCTTGTCTTTAGGGTTTTAATGTGTGACATATCTTCCATCACAAGACAGTTTGACTGTAACAGTTCACTTTTTTTTATATATCATGTTCTAGCTTCATACTATTTTACAGTGCTGTATAAACTAGAAGACTACCTGAACAGGCTATTTCAAACATAACTGTATTCCCTATCTCTATGTAAGCATTTTCTTCTCTGATAAAATACATTCTCTTCATCTCTTACTTTGCAAACTCACAGGTACCTTTCCAGTTATGGATGTCTTAATTTTTCCTTAAAATCAGAAAGTGCTTAAAAGCACATATAATGCCTTCTGAGTGCATATAATGCCACTGGTGTGCATTTCTCAGAGTATCATATTTAACCTGCTCTGCTTGTGAGGCCAGTAATTGTTTTACCTTCATGTCCAGGAACCATTATCAGTCTATTCTGCAACCAGTTGGCAAGTCCCCTTGGTAAACCTCTTCCATGCTCCAGAGACTAGCTGCTCTTGTTGGTGATTGAAATAAAAGCGTATCCCAGAGCTAGGGATTGCAGCAGGAGAAGCCTGATGCTGGTTTTCTCCAGTGGACACCAGGTGGCAAGTCTTGAGGGTATCTATAATTAGAATAGATTATTAGGGAGGGGGTCATACAGGACATGGCCACAAGGGGATGGGCATTATACCACCTCATGGAAACTGACAGGATCAGCAAGGAAATCATAAAGTCACAGTGGGGCTCAGATGAACAGGACTACCCAAAAAGCAGCACTCCGTTGCTTTGAATACCTTGCAAACTTTAAAACTGCTGCTAGTTCTTCTGCATCTTTGCCCTTGCATTTGTTCTATCAGCAGTGTCAACTGTAGTGAAGAATAAGCTCCGATGCTCTTTACTAATGTGTCATCTCAGACACCTAACATGGCTGTGAAAATGCCTGTCTGTACTCTATAACGTTCAGACCAATGGCAGTTAGAAAAACAGTCTACTTTTGATGCAACATCCAAATGCATCATGCCATATAAGCTACAGCTCTCAGGGCTGTAGTGATGCAGAGGAACTAGTCATACTAAAAACACTAGCTACTATAGACAGATACAATGTTATGGACCAGCACCTTTAACACTGGTGTTTCAAACTCAGTAGCGACAACCTGATACGCATATTAATATGTTCTGTGCCCCAGAACTAAGTACAAAGAAAACAGGTCTGATGTATTAGTTCATGGAGGCAAGTACTCAGTTTCTGAGCAGCAGGCAGTGCATTTGAGCACCCAGCACTAGAAGAAGCTTCATTCAGAGGGAGTGTCTTCTCAATCAAGGACCATAGGTTACCTTAAAAACCAGGCTGTAAAAGTTTATATCCTTTCGTAGGTCACAATGAAATTTCTCCCACATCACTTCAGCCATACAAGTGGTTTAGTGTAAACCAGTGTGTTGCTTATGGCAGTAAGAGGAACACTGCACAGAGGATGATTTATTTGACTGCTTTAAGCCATTTTAAGAAAGGATAAAACACTTTTAGAAGGTGGTTATCTCTTCAGTGGGTTTCAGTAAGTTCTGGGGAGCAGTGTGTAATATCTATATGAAGACAAATGAAACTTTTGGTTTTGTCATTGTAGAGGTTTTCCAATACCATTACTCCCTGGAGCTGCTTAAGCCAAAACCTTTTGAACTTCTGGAGCTTTAAGAATATGGGTTTCAGCAGCTTGTCCAAATGCAGTTTATTTTTCTGGTGTATGTCATATATCCATGGGCATTGAATATGTGCAGAAAGGCTATGTCTGAAATATTGTATTAAGTGAACTGCTTTCAAATTAAAAAAGCCAGCAAGAATATTTAAATTGCTGGGTGTGGATGTGCGTTTAAGTATGATTCAAATTTTGCTGCAGTGCTACAGCAAGATGCAGGAGAAAGGACTCTTGGCCTTGGGCAGTGGCACTGCTTTTCACCCATCGGCTGCTGGAGTCCCGATGCCGGCCTTTCCACACGAGCTCCCCAGGTCTGCCAGTGAATCACCTGAGGTTCCTCACCACCCTCCTTCAAGGCTGGGACCCCCGGCGGGCCTCGGGGTGACCGGCCCGGCGGGGTGACGCCCCGGCCGGTCCCGGGGAGCCAGGGACGCCAGGGGCGCGGTGCAGGGTCCAGGTGGGGCTGCGCGGGCCCGGGGTCCCACCGCCGGGGCCGATAGCCGGGCACAGCCCTTGGCATCCCCTCGGGGCGTTGTTCGCCCCCCGCGTCCTTCCTGCTTCCGGGGGCCGCCGCGGGGAGGATTTGCCGCAGATGACATCAGCTGTGGATGCTGGAAACGCGGCGGCGGCGGCGCGGAGGATGCGCCGGCTCCCCCCCTTCCTCCTCCTCCTCCTCCTTCTCCCCACCATGTCCCTGCCCTGCACCGTCTCCGTATAAAAGCGCCGCCGCCTCCCCACCCGCCTTCACTCTCTCCCTGCTGCCTGCAGAGCCATCGCCGAGCGGCCCCTGTCCCCTCAGCGCCCCGGAGCCGCGGGGCGGAGGCGATGGCCACCGTGGTGGTGGAAGTGGACTCGGAGCCCTCCTGCAGCATCCCCAACCCCACCTCCACCTCGCCCAGCCTCTCTCACCGCTTCCTGGACAGCAAGTTTTACCTGCTGGTGGTCATCGGTGAGCTGGTGACAGAGGAGCACCTGCGGCGGGCCATCGCCAACATCGAGCGAGGTGAGGCGGCGGGAGCCGGGGCGCCAAGGGCAGCGCCGCGACACCCCCCGCCAGAGCCCTACCCCTCCCTGGGCGCGGCCGGGATCGCCCCCCGGACACCCATCCCGCGCCAGCCGCCCGGCCGCGCTCTCCGGCTCTTCGTTCCCGAGGGTCCTGCCACAATCCCCCACCCACGCCCCCATCGTGTGGGGTGCGGGCGAGGTGCGGGCGCGGCGGGGCGGCGGCTGCGGGAGCCGCAGCGAGCCCCCCGCCCGCCATGGCGGGGCGGAGGGGCCGGGCGGGAGCAGCGCCCGCCGCCAGCCCGTCTGCCCGCAGACACCGGCGGGTGGGCGTGGCGCGGTCCGCACTGCGGTCCCGGTGGCAGCCCGGGGCGGACAAAGGGCGGCTGGGGATGGCGTGGCTGGGCTGGAGCGGCGGGGCGGGTGCTGCCCGCAGTCCCCAGTTTCTCAACGCCAGACCAAACCGGCGGGTTCAGGGCGTTTTCCCCCTCGGCGGCAGAGGCTGCGCGAGTGGGAGCGCAGCCGCGCCTTTGTGTCCAACTTTGGGCGGTGGGACTTTTCTCCCGTCTGGGGAATTTTTCAGGACCGAAGCTCTATATACGTTTATATGTATTCCAATAAAGATAACCCATATGAGTAACAAGGCTGTTACCTGAGTGCTCAGCCTCCTTATTGTCCGGCTGCGGGCTGCTCTGACTCGGCGTTTGTTTGTCCTTTTCTTTAAACAGCGATGCAGGATTGTATCGCAAGTGAAATGACAGTTTAATAAGTTTTCTTGCTGGTTCATGATACAACAGATTGCAGTGTATATGCAGAAGGGGCGGGGGGGGGATGGGGTGGATTTTGCAGTATTAGTGGAATGAAGCACAAAGAAAATTATTGCCAGACCCTACAGTTTGTTAAACTCAGTTGATACCTGATTTTATATCATGCATTTTTTTTGTTCTGGGCTGGAGGAAGCCAAGATTTCAGAAACCTGCCATTGTTAGAGGGAAGGAAGAGACCCCAGAACGGGGAATTGGTAGCAGCCTTGTCATGTAGGTGTGGTTCAGCAGTACAGCTAGGACTTCATCTGTCTCTATTGTTGCTTTCTCAACCATTGTTGCTTTAGTTGGCTATTTCTCTGGATTCTTTTTCACGATGGCTTGTGGTAAAAGGCTTCCTCATCTCAGCTAAGCAGTTTTTCCATGACCTGTTCATCTTTATTGCTACCATTGTCTCCTAGGAAGAACTACTGAGGCAGGTGCTTTGTCATTCAGAGCCTCTTCAGCACTGCACTTTCTTAATTCTAATTTTCAGTTGTGTCAAAGTGAATTGGCTGCATTTTTGTTAAATTGTTAAAATTGTAGAACAAATTGTTAAAATTTCTTCCCTCAAAACAGCCAGTACCCTTCCTTTGAAGAAATGCTCTTCAGTCTCTTCTTGAATCTTCTATTGTACAGTTGCTGCTGCATAGCTCAGTTGCTGCTACCTCCTGCCACTTAAGCATAACGCCCACTTACAGGTTTAGATGTTCAGAGGGAGCATTTTGGCCTTTTAATTCATAATTTTGGATTAGAAGTCACCTTGCTGCTTCTGGTATCAGACAACCTGATTGAGATTTTTACATGCTAAGGAGGAGTACTTGATGAAATTTTGAGGTACATTGTTCTGAATGGGAGTCTGAAGCTCTGTCTACCTGAGGCAAATATGGGCTTAGCTAATATCTTTCTCTTTGGAGTGTCTGCTGTAGTCTGAAAAAAACCCCACTTCTTTCAACTTTTATGCTCAACAGAGCTTTAAATGCGTTTTGGTTCTTGATAACTCAGCCTCCCTGTCTTCTCTGGTACATCTCCTGAGTACCATCACTGAAAACCATGGATTCGTGCGCCAAACTGCAGAGCAACGTGTCAAAGAAAACATCTGCTGATAACACATCAGTGGCGTGATGCTACGCAACCTGGTGGAATGCAGAATCATTTCTTAGTATATCATGAGGAGAGAATGGCGTGGCAAGATGCATTTTCAGTAATTACATTTGGGATGCGACTTTGCTAAGGGGGCAATATTCCAAACCACTGTTCAACAAAAGAGAAGAAAAAAGTGAAGAGAAAGCTTCAAGATTTTTCCACCGATTTGGCAAATGTTACTGGGTGTGCCCTGCCTACTGTCTGATTAGTCCTGTGTCTAGTGGCATTGCACCCTTACGACTGCAGAAAGAAAGAAATAGCTCCACTTCAGCCATGTTTACAGCAGTTACGTCCATGCTGTTAATGATCTACATCATTGGATTGACCTTGGATTTTAGTTCCAGGTTTACCTTCATTCTACCCCAAACCTTATTTTGTTATGTCATGTATTTAATACATTATGCTACTCTGTGATGTACATGCATAATTTTTGCATCCAGACTGCTGAATGATGCAGTTGCAGATTTGGGACATTCTATCAAAATGTCCAGCTTTGGCTTCTAGGACTTCTGTGTGCGTAGGGCATAGAGGCTTTTTTTACCTTGTTTGTTTTCTGGTTCGGTCGTCCCCTTCCCCCCCCACCCCCCCAGTTTATTTTGTGTTGAGTCCTGTATTTTGGACATTGCCTGGCTCAGCATTCTTGACTACATCAAGTCAAAATCTTATCCCTTGTGTTTGCGACAAAAACAGCTAGGCATAGTGGACAGATCCTATCATTAGCAGCATTGCTGAATCATAGTCCGTTGCTTAACTGACCTCCAGAAAGCTTTGTAGTCTCTCCACACAAGCTTGGTGTGATGGGCCAGTGAGCTGTTTATCTTCAGGCTTCTTGAAGTTCAGCATTCATTCGTTCCGCATACTTCAACTTTATGGTCAATGTTGGTTTAATAGTTATAGTTTTCATATGCGCTCTGTGTATGGTATTGTGTCATTTTTGCTTTCTTACTCTCAAATATTCCAACACCTGGAAAATATTAAAGTCTGTTGAGCTGTATTTGTCTGTCAAAACTGGCCCCAAAAATGCACCGTATGGACAAGAGATTTTTTGATAAAAGAAAATAAGGAGACCTGCAGAAGAAGCTTGCTGCTTATGCCTCAGAACAATGATGCATCACTCATAAAGTGGAGGTTGCTGGTTATAGCTGAGTTATTTTTCTCAAGTGGTTATGAAACACACACTACTCTATTTTCAAATTTTTTGAGAGATTAAAGTTGTAGCTACTTAATAGCTGGTAGCGTGTTACAGTAGTAAGCATGCTTCTACCTGGACTCGGATGCTGACAAGGAAAAACGCTGGATGTATTCTCCTTGAAGAGGCTTCAGGCTATTGAAATGCAGATGTTCTTATTTGCATGGAGAACCTACTCAGAGCTGTGGTGGGAGACTGGCACTGTAGATCTCGTTTCTCTGCTATTCCCCCACTTCTTTTCATCATTCAACCTGGCAACATGGCTTCTACCATCTAAGCCACGATATTTCCGCTGCCCTGAAACAAAATATATAACATGGGGATTAGCAACTGACAGAGTTACCAGCAGTGTTAGTGTCTCATGGTCAGGGGCTGTCCACACACCTCCCCAGGCATCCCTTTGTCAAACTCCACAGTGGTTTAACACAACAACTTCATGCAAAGGCATGGTCCGACATATGGGGAGGGGCCACCAGACACTTCCTCACCAGCCATCCCTTTCATGTTTGCCACTTAATTTGTGTATATTTAATGATGTTCTTTTAGAACAAAAGAAAACCAGTGTAATTTTGGTTTTCAAAATTACAGCAGTGCCTGGACTGACCTGTAGTGCTACTGCCTGATCATTTTTTCAAAACTAGAAGATTTTTCATAACAATTTCAAAGCAAGCAAATGATAGAAAAATCTAAAGCATGTTGTTCTGTTGGTGTTTTTTGTTTGTTTGTTTGAGGTTTGGTTTGGTTTGGTTTTTTGTTGCTTGTTTTTTAATTAGTCATCAAAATCTTATGGAAAAAAATAGAAACTTGTATCTTGGCTGCAAAGATTTTTTTTTTTTTCCTGGTCAAATTTCCATCCTTAAAAATATGTTTTCGAACAATACATTTTTTGGTCATATATATGTCAAGAGTCTCATGTTCTAAGTAGCTGGGGAGGAAAAGCAGTAGGGATCAGAAATGTGCTGTTTGGTTTTTAAAAGAAAAAAGATCAAGCATAGCATTTTTAAATCTCAAAACTAGAGTTTTGACACTTCATAAATAAAATATAACAAATTTTAATTTAAAATATGGGATGCTTCAAAGCTTTTGAATTAAGAAGTCAGCAATTTAATACTTTAAATATTAATTAGCAACATGGTAGGTAATTTTTTTTTTTTTTCCTCAAAAGAGCAATATGCAATGTGACAAAAGTGTCCTCTGAGTAATTCACTCTTTCATTTTTGTAACCCTGTATATTTCTATTTTAAATTCAAGTCGGGGACGTTGGTGACTTCTTGTAAAGTGGCTATGAGGATATGGGACCAGCAGTCCTAAAGCTGGGGCCTTAAAGAATGGTCACCCTTCGGAAAGGCAGATTTGCTCTTTTTGATTCCTCTCAGAGTCCTTCTTAGCACTCAGCACATTCTAAAAAATAGCAATGTGCCTTGAAAGGAAGTGAGGCTGGGTTTGGTATTTAGAAATATGCAAATAGCATGGATGCAAATGGAGGCATACTCTGTTAAAACTTCCAGTGCTCATGTTTCAAGCTAGATATGTTTTGTATTTTGAATTTTAGGAATCCGGTCATGGGACACAAACTTGGTCGAATGCAACTTGGATCAAGAACTGAAGCTTTTTGTGTCTCGCCATTCAGCTCGATTCTCTCCTGATGTTCGAGGTGAGTTTAAGAGCAGAACTAATAAATTACACTTTGAAATTGCCTAGTCCATTGGTTTTAGAGCCTTATTAAAGTTACGAAAACTTACCTTTTTGACTGAACAGTTTCTTTATATAGCACCAATTTAGTAACCCCAGATACTGAAGCTTACTCTAATAGGTAGAGTAAAAACCAAAAAAAAACCTGAAAGGTTTACTCTACATTTTGATGGAGCAGAACTGATGTCACAGCTGTTGCACAAGTGCAGCTCAAGCCCCGTGTTTCTTCCCAAAGGACATGGACT